TCTGCTTCCAGATTTCTTAGCTTTTCTAGTCAGACTGAAGAGACACTTCTCCCCACAACCCCACCATGTTTTCTCTCTACCCCATAGAATTTGCAGCAACACATGGTGAGCTGCTGTCAAGCCTAGAAGACACCCTGGCTGTCTCAAACATGCATAGATAGCTTTGCCATTTCTCCAGTTTTGCTCTCATGCAAGCATTCCCTCCTTGTATTTGCACAATGGAAGATCCATAAGAGCCCAGGAGTCAATCATGTTTTCTGCTGTCCCTCCAGCTAAGCACCTGCACACACCCTGGGAGAGCTGTCTTACCTCATCCACTCTGCTTTTCACTTTTGGAGACATTTTGTTACCACTGCTGTGAAATTTCAGCTGCTGCTTGGCTTTGTTCATGTCCCGTTCTACTAGCTTCCAGTCCACTTTGATGTATCCCGTGTGGTTTGCAATCTAGAGTTTTGAGGGGTGGAAAGAAAGTTCCTGGAATAAAATCCTGTGTGACCATGGCTAAACAGACCCCCCTGCCCACCCACCTTCCCTGACCACAACCACCTCCCAAACACTGGTCCAGTGGGCTGAGAGGATGAGCACACTACCTTAAAAATTGGACAAAAAACCAGCCCTGTAGCTGTATTAACTGTCCTGACACATCTGTCTCCCACAGTAATCCCCTAACAGCAGGGCACACATTGCAGCTTAGCCTGTTTCAGCCTCTATTCTCTAATGTAAAGCTGGCATCACCTCCCTCTCACAACCACCATGTATATCATTGGAATTCTGCAGCTCTCCTGCTGCTCTGGGTGGACACCGCTATTAATAGCCTGTTCCTCTCTAAATAGTTTATCTGATCAGGATGATTCAGCAGTGAAACCTTCCCTGCTCAGAGCAAGCTCTTGGCTTTCAGCAGAGCAAGCAGAGCCAGAAGAGCAGGGGAGAACCCATCACACACGAGACAGTGTCTGAGAAGCAAACAAATCAGACTGGCGAGCGAGGCCTTGACAGATGTTCTGCCTCCTGCAGATGTATGAGCTAGATGTCCAAATCCAAGCAGCTCCCCTCAGTGCCAGTGTTCTTGGAAACCAGGAGAAACAGTTGAGGACAGAGAGAGATCTCCATTTCTCTCCTCCTCCCCAGCGCTTTACAGAGCACCCCATCTGTGCTGGCCTGACTCCTCAGGGAGCTAGATTGACAGGAAGCGTATCACAGACATGGACAAATCCCTCTTGACATCCAGGGCTGTTTCTCCAGGGGTACCATCTCCACAGGCATAGGACTAAGAACAGTAGCCAGTTCTGACCAGAGAGTCTTGCAGCAGCACGATTTGCTGCAGGTGAAGGCAGCCCTCAGGTGCCCCTGCCATAACAGCCCCCACGTGCCGCTGGCCTGGTCTTTGCTGGCAGACCCTAAGCAGATGGCACCTTTCAGCAATCCTTAAGTTTACACACACTGATCCTGCTTTTGCTGCTGCATCTATGTACCCCAGCAAACACATACCCTTGACATTCATGGCAACACAGAGCTCCTGGCAGAGCGGGGAACTGGCTCTACATGTCCCAACAGGTAACAATCAGCCCTTCGTCGACACCAGCACAGTTCTCAGAAAGCCTGGCCCACTGCTCATACACACCTGAAGTAGGAAAAAGCCACCTCCCACCGCTGTCGCTGCCAGCTTTCCAACTTTCTGGAAGATGAATCCAGTACACCTACAAAACAGCATCTAGTCAGGAGAATGAGATACCAAAGACATGCTGCTCAGTACACTTCCCACAGGCAAGGCAGTAAGTACCCAAGACTCTGAGACAGCCTGATGAATGGCAGAAGAAATCCATGTACAATTAGAGAGAAAGGATGTGCATACAGCCAAAAACGATGCTTTATAGCTTTTTACTTCTCACCATCACATTGCAGCCTTTTGCAGTTTTGATTGTTATCTCTTCAACATCAGCCATCTCCCAAAATAGTAATCAGAAACACGTCTCCAGCAAAATCAACAAGTGATTTTAGCTTTTTAACTGGTATAATCTCTGAAGAGAAGTTAGGCAGCACATCTGTTGCTGTTCCATGATAGAGCATGGGGAACAGACAAGGCAAGCTGCTTTGTTGCCCTAACAACTGTTAACTTTTCCTTTTGTCCTTCACTCCTCAGAAGAGAAAAATGCCAAAATAAGCAGGCAGCAGTGGACTAAAGCTATACAGGTCTCCAGACTGGGTTACATGCTCTCAACATGAAAGACATCACTGCAGCTACCAGAACTCAAGCAAGCGCCACCCCATCACTCTGTCATGCAGCAGAGGGCTAGTGTATTGTATCACCCACAACAGATTTTACTTTGAGCACAGTTTCCTTATCAACACTGCAAACCAACACAACAACCTGCTCTTACCCATTTCTGAATACATACGCTTTGTCAAGACACAACAGAGAGGTGGCCAGCTCATTTTTTTTATCAGAAAATGAACACCTGTCATACACTTTTAAATGGTTACCCTTGTGGCAGACAAAGGCAGGCACGGCAGAAACAAAGCAGTGTGATTACACTTGTGATTACAAGTTTTCAACTCAAGCAATGCTGCTGTGGGAATGAAGTCACAAACAGAGACACCAGCCCCAGCACTTAACTACAAGCGACACAAAACCCCAGGAACCGTGCCTACAGGTGCAACAAGCCACCTCCACAGGACATTTTTGTTCAGATGCCTGAAGCACATTCACCTCCAGGGAAGAAGGTATCTTTGTTCCAATAGGCTCGTATTTGCCTGTCCTAAATTCAACACCAACGCTTTAGGCCAGAAGTTAAAGAGAATTATGTCCCTTCAAAAATTAAAGTCTAATGCCATTTTCTTCCCTAGGAGATAGACTCAGTTCTTCTGCTCCAAACTACAGACAACTTTTAAGACCTCCCACAGTTCAGCACAGTATGCCAGGGCACAGCTGGCTGCACAAGCTGGACACCTGCCTCCTCTGAAAGACTGCCAGAGGACCACCCTACACCTGTCAGCGTGTTCCCAAAAGTCCAGCTAGCGCCTGCAGGCATCCCACCTGCCACGAGAAGCAACAGCAACCCCAGGACATCTTACCATCCTGTGACCCCTCCGATCACCAGCTGCGTGGCCACGTTGTACTTCTCAGCGCTTGACCCCGAGCTGGGGGCGAAGACCTTGCGCCACCAGGGCTGGTTCTTGGTGTACTCCGCCAGATCCAGCACGTTGAACGAGTCCTCCTTCACACCTGCAAGTACCTGGAGAGGCTCAGTGCCGGTCCCACAGACGCCCACCAGCCGCCCAGGGCCTCCCCAAGGACACGGGACCCTCACCCAGTCACACAGACCACGGGGGCTGGCACTCCCCCTGGGCCTTTGGGAACCCTCAGAACCCCCTAGGACCCCTCACCCCCTCAGTGCTCCCGCAGGTCATATCCCTGAGAAAGGGGCACGGCCTGAGGCGCCCTGTCCTGAGAGGTGTCCCCAAAGGGTCCCGCGGCGATTCGGGCCCTCGGATGGTTGCCAGGGCCCGGTACGGGCCGCCGCACGTTGCCAATGGAGACAGCGCCGGGCAGGGCACGGGCCGCGCTCTCGGCCGGGGGTCTGA